GCAAAATGAAAGTGGCTGTGAACCATTTGGGTGCCCTGGGACTCAGGTGAGCAATCGGCAGCAGAAGAGTACAGGCAGAAGCCCAGAAGCTCAGTCTCTCATCTGCACCAGGGTGTCTCCATGCTAGCTACACATCAGATACACCTACAGACCCTCAGTCCAGTTGGGTCCACCCCAAACCAATTAAATCAGAATCCCTGAGAGGTAGGACCCAGGCACTGATTTTAATTCTCCCAGGTGATCCTAATGTGGAACCTCTAATCTAAATGGTTAATAAAAGATTGAAATAAAGCAGATCAATGCCCTCCTTCTGGAAGACTTTATGTCAAACACTGGGTCTCTGATCTGTCCAAGAAACTGGTAAGAGATACCATCATTTCTTTTCAAAAATCCAGATCTCAGCTTCTCTGGGCTGCTTCCTAAAGAACCACAGGGACTCCCACAATTCACCACTTGCCTTTCTAAAGTTTCACAACCTCCTTTTTAACAATGATGGCTTTAGAATAGAATAGTCTAGTTCTAAAACTATCAAACACACACATATATATGGGGGAAAAGATGTTTGTAATTTACCAAATCTCTGAAAAATTGGACTTTTTGCTAGGCTCTGGTCTTTGGGCCTTTTTTTTTTTTTTTTTTTTGGTACCAGGGATTGAACTTGAGTCCTTGCGCTTGCACAGCAGGCGATGAAACCACTGAGCTAAATCCCTGGGCCCTTTGGGCCTTCCTTTGCTCACCATAATTCTGTAGATTGTGATTCTGTGAGCATATGTGAAGGTATTTAGTAGGGAGCAAGGGGCTCTGGCAGATCAGCTGACTGGCTCCCTTCTCCCCAATTTATACCTTCTAGCAAGGCCAGGACCCAGTGGTGGCTCTCTGTCCCTAGTTATACTCTCAAAGTTGTTAGCCTACCTCTTCCTTCACATTCTTGCTAGGAAAATGCACAAGATTTGTTATCAAGAGCATTTTCAACCAGACTCAGCACATTTTGATCACTGGACTTCCTGACATGCCTATGAGGATCTCAGACCACTCCTGAATCTGTTTTCAGTGCCACAGACCCCAATGAGCATGGCCTTGTACCATCAGCACTTACTGGAGACAGCAGCCCATGCAGCTACACTGATGGTTCAGTCCTTCCTCAGTGTCACCACCTCTCTTCTTAGCCTAACAACATTCATGACTGTTCTATCAGCATTTCCTTTTAAAAAAGCAATTCTATGCCTCCAGCTGACCTCCCTTTTAGAGTCTGTGGTTATGGGGGTTAAAAACTGCTTGCCTTTGAACAATAATTTTCTAAAGTCTACAGTAAACACTTCTTGCCCAGCCTTCACAAATACCCAAACAGTGTCTTTCTCTAAAGATTTTCCTCACTTCTACTTCACCAATTTCCCTTTGTTCCTGAGAGCATCTCTCCTCACAGCCTCCCTGTATCTTCAGAAGGACCAAGCTACCAAGCAGGCTGGGCAAGAATTCATCAGAGGTTCTGATAGTGTTGAAACACCACCACTTCCAATGTTTCTTGTCTCAAATATGACAGATGTATTTCACATGGATAAGGGCTAAAAAGTGTTCCCAAATCATACATCTTTTTATTTCTCTAATTTTCACCCATAATGTTCTGTCATGCTCCTAAACTGATGGATACATTTTTCTATGAAGATTTTTTTCATAAATGATCATTTTCCTACCTCAATTAAGCTTTTATATCCCTCATCTATGAGTAATTTTTCAGTCATGCTCAGGACTATGGTGACTCCTTGCCCCCAACCCCCACCTCAACATTCTGCCCCACAGTTCTTTGAGCAAGCAGGGGATGTCTTGGGATAAACATTTAATTTGTATTGCATGTTTCCAACTCAGACAAATGCATCATTGTTTATGCATAAAGACTGCTCTAGGAATGTTCTGTCACAGTGCACTGGTTACCTACTATGTACCAGACATTATACATACTTTTATCTCATTCAGTTCTTACAGCAACCCTGCAAAGAAGGGTTGCCCTTATCTTTCAATTGAGAAAACAGATTCTCAAGAAATTAACGATTAACTTTTCAAATCAGCTGTCTTCATTATGTTACAAAGCCACCACTCTGGTAAAAAATGTGAATCAAAAAACCTCTGGCATCAGCCTAGGATCTAAATCCTTCCCGGAACTAGGAAGACTATGGTACAGAAATGAACCCCTTCAGGTTTGTTATTTACAGATTCTACCAACTTCCCCAACTTCAAGTTCGCATCCACAGTAGTCACTCATCCCTGGGGAGCTGTCTCTAGTCTTAAAATGCTGAACCACATTTCTCAGTAGAGGAGTTCTTTAGCACCATCTACAAAGCCCACTGGGAGAAAGAATGAGCTGGGAGACAGTAAACCCAAGATAAGCATCCACCCTTATATGATACAAAACAGCTGTCAGGCAGCTCAAAGGAAGCCCCAAATGCAGCTGAGAGAATTGAAGCCAAGAAGGAAAGAGGAAAAGCACCACTCTAACAGAGTGAAGGAAATGCCAGGGATCTGAGATGCAAGCAGATAGTCTGATTTCTGACGCTCCTGCCCCTCCTGAAGAACATTAATGACCTTCCCAGTCATAGGAGGAGTTCTTTCCGCTTTTTGCTGCTAGATCTACTGGTTAGGCTCCCAGTGGTCCCCTGGGGCTGGTAAACACTTAGCTTAGGTAGAGTCTCTCAGCTCTGAGACTGTGCCAGAGATATGCCCATTAAACATGATGTTGCCTGAGCAGTTGTTCCCAGGTTTTCAGCCTTCACAGACCAATAAGAAAATTTAAAAAAAACGTGGAGTGAGCCACTAGTTACCATTTTGTATTGTACCACAGAAAAATTTTTAAAATTTTGATCTTTCTATATACATCTTCACTTCATAAAAGAAAAAAACATTTTAAATACTGAGAAGCAGAAAATATTTCTCTTCAGAACAAAGTAGTACTCTTTAAGTCAACAAAAGTTACCTTTAAGAAAAAACTCACTTCACTGTCCCCACTGCCCTTTCTCCAGGAACTGGACCCTCTGTCTTAGGGTGACTCCAGCCATGAAGTCAGGTTTTACCTGATTGCAGGGGCCTGGAGAGATAGCCAGCCACAGCAAAGTGGCTGTGCAGACATCTCTCAGCAGCTTGGCCTATAAGCTTCAGCCAACCCAGATGCAAGGTATCTTCACCATGACCACCCAGCAGCCTAGGCTAGCAAGGATGACAAGGCCCTGGCGTCACTCCCAGGCCCTCTCATTCAGGTATGCCCATCATTGCCAAAAGAAGCACTTCACATCATTCACGAAGGCCAATGGTTCCAAGAATCTCCAGCCCACAAAGCGTATCCTCCTCACCTCTCAGGTTTGGTTATGGGATGGAATGGAGTGAGATACAGTGATCAAGGAAGAAAATAAGCACTAGAAGGAAACAAGCCAAGGAAATCAAGCTTTACAAAATACACTAGGCAGGTTCTCCTTACACCAAAACACCAGACCTCATGCCCAGAACTGAAGCCTATACCTGATGCCACCCCCTTTCAAAGAGGACCTACAGGGCACTGGGCCAGCAGGATGCTGACTCTCCCTCCCTCCCAATATCAGCAACATAAAGGGACTGGACACTGTCTCTGGGGTGGGGAGCTGTAGATGTGCTCTAGATGTCTGCTTTACCAGAGACAGGGTAATCAGGGCTCTGAGCCGGGGTCCCCAGGTCATGACACGCAGTGGACAAGAGAAGGTGAGAAGGAACAGAAACATCCCCGCAACACCCACTTCCCTGCCCCCAATGTTTGGGTCTTTTTCCTAGCCAAGGGATCACAGCCTCACCAGCTCCCAGCACAGCTCTGCACTCAGCGGTGAGGGAAATCCTGAGTGCACGCCACCAGCCCATCACAGCCACAGGTGCCCCAGCCCTCAGAAACACAGTGGCTCCCTGCCCAGCTTGAGGCTTCAAAGGCCATCAAGCACACCTCCTCCATTTCCCCAAGGAAAATGCAGGCCCAGAGAGACCTGAGTTGTCTGCACTCTTAAATCAGTGGCAGCCAGTGGAGCCCCAGAGATAGCACAGGCCTCTGTCTCTGTCCAGCGCCAGTTCCACGGCCTGGAGCAACCTCAGCCGCTACACCACTCCGCCTAAACTGCTCAACTTGACTTGTCCCTAACTCTGCTGTCGTGGCTGCAACCAACCTCAAGCCAGCAGAATGGAAAGTGTCACAATGCAGGGTCACAACCCCTCCATTTGTCGCCTAACCCCTGTGCTCTCATCCCAACTACTCCTTCCCTCCTCAACCCCAAATAAAGAGAGTACTTCTTGGGGCTGACAGTATCTCAAAAGTACATCGTTCATTCATGAATTAATATCTTGGTGCCTACTACCTGCCAAGTCATGATTGTGCTAGTTTCTGAACAGATTTTTTAAAAAGTCTTTGGCCTCAAGAAATACTCAGTACCACACAGGAACCCAACCCCCTTGTTTCTCATTAAATTCCCAAGCAGTTTCACCTGGCTCTTGCCATCTAAGAGAAAAGGACAGCACCCAAGCAAAGGTTTAGGAAACATCCCCACTCCCATGAAGAAAGAATAAAATCACCCTGTTGTTCCAGAGCTTTCTCTCTAAGCCTATCTTCCGCCTCCATCCCTTACCTGATACCATCACTGCTCATGTCACCCAAACATTATTGTTACCTTGAAATACAGTATCTAAAGCTTCAAGCAGGACAAGAAACTTCTAGGTATTTAGCTAGGCATCACTGTCTTGCATCAAATGCAAAATCCAAGATGTGGGGGCTACCTCAGCACACTCTGTGACCCACTTAATCCCATACAAACTGTCAGCCCCACAAAGTGGCCACTACAGCTTCCAATGTCAGTTACAGTCCTATTCATAGGCCCACTCAAAGTTGGACCAAGAGACCAGAAGTGGGAGAATGAGCTTAACTGGATGAGTCTTTTAACAGAACCCTCATAATCAAAGGGCCCTCAAGGAAGGAATGGAGAGCCTAACAAGAGCCAGCTTACCTCCTTGAGAAGCCCCACTTTTTTCTTCAGCACCTCACACTTGCGTAGTTTGCAGATCTGGTGTGTGCGGCGGTTGGTACAGCTGGTGCAAGCCCCACAGTTTTCTAGCCTCTGGCAGGGCTCACAAGTACCACACCGTTTGCGTTTCTTCCGCCCATCTCCATTCCCTCTCAGCTGGGCCTCACTCCCAGTTACAGGAAGCCCAGGTGCCTGGAAGCCCCCTACCACCACCTGGCCCTGAGGGAAGTCATAAAGACCTGGCAGGTCCGGTTGGACGGCCAGGGGCACCTGAAACTGGCTCATGATGCTGACACTGCCAGAGGGGAGAGCATAGGTCCTGTGCAGAACCACAATCCAGTTGCCAGCAGTTTCCTGTTGCCTGCAAAGGCTACCAACAGGTCCTTCTCTCCTAAAACAGTCAAGAATCTACAAGAGTGGAAGGCAAGGAGCTCCCGTCTCCAGAATGGATGCCTCTTCACCTCCTCTGCAGCAGTCTGACAGGGCTTCCAGGGCCACTTTCCCACCTGCTGGGGCCCAGGATCTGGGGGAGGACAGCAGCAGCAGCAGCCCTCAAGGAAGGGATCATCTTGGCTGGGTGGCTTCTTCACCCTCACCCACCCGGGACCCGGGCATGAGGTGAGCAGGTGGGTGTGCAGTGGGGCAGAGCAGGGTGGAGTCTCCCCCAGAAAGTTCTCCTCCGGGGGTCAGGATGGTGGGGAAGGCAGCGCTGCCTGAAAAATAGAAAGGGGAAGCACATCACTCCAGGCTCAGGGACAACTTTCATGTGTTATCTCTTCCTGCTTCTGGGAAAAGAGAAAATGGGGGAGGAGAGGGACTAGCTCAAATGAACCTTGGGCAGGACTCAGCGGGGAGGTGGACTAGAGCACTTTGTGCTGAGGAGGCCTGGACGACGAATTCAAGGGAGGGGAGAAGGTGGGACTTCTGAGAAAGTTGCCCGCTGCCAGCCCCCCACGGGCTTGTGAGTTTCTCCAAAATTTCCCCACACCACCTCACCGGAGGCCTCAGGGCCCCGAGCCAGGGCGCAGAGCTTTCAGAATAAAGTTTGCAGAGAGCCTCGCTCCGCCCGGGCTGCCCGGCGCCCCCGGCACGGAAGCGGCCTGGACGCGGGGCGCGCCTGCGGGGAACCTGCGCCCAGCCGGGCGGCAGAGGGCGGCCCGCGTCGCCGAGGGGGCGCGGGGAGGGGGGCGCGCTCGGGGATGGGGCGCGCTCGGGGCGCGGGCCGGGCTCTGCGCGCGGGCCGGGCTCTGCGCGCGCCGCCGCTTGGGCTCCTTTGTTCTGGGGCCTCGGCCGCTCAGCTCCGGCGGCTCCGCAGCCCCCCCCCCACCCCCCCCGCCACATTGTGACCCATAGCACCACCCGCGAGGCCCCCCAGCCACAAAGAAGCGGTCCTTCGGCGGGCGCCGGGCTGTCCCCTCCCCCGGGCCGGGCCCCCCCCCACGCCTCCCCTCCCCCACCCCGGAGCCGGAAAGGCACCGACTGCACCGACCTGCCCGCCGCCTCCGGGGCGGAGCGCACAAAGGGGCAAAGTTTCTCGGCCCGCGCCACCGCCACCACCGTCGCGGCCGCCGCCGCCGCCGCCTGAGGCGCCCGCCTCCTGGAGCGCTTGGCCGAGCAGAGCTCGACGCGCAGAGCCCCCAGCCCGGGCCGAGAAGGAGACGGCACAGGAGGAAGGAAGAGGCAGCGGCGGCCGCGGCGGCAGCAGCAATGAAGGCGTCCGCGGGACTCCCCGCCCCCCGCGCGCCGCGGCACGTGCTCGCCGGGGGACTCCCCCGCCCGGGAGGGCGCGCACGTGCGGCCCCGCCGAGCCCCGCCGCCGGGCCCGGGGCCGCGCGAGGGGGGAGCCCCGCGGAGGGGAGGGATACGAGCGGGCAGCCGGCCAGCCAGCGGGGGCAGGGCTGGCGGGCGCCGCGTCTTTGCACCTGCAGGACCTCGCTACCCCGGCCGGCCCTCCTGGACTCCGCCGCCCCTCGCGGGCTGGCCGGCCCTGTCCTCTGGCGGTAATGCAGCCGGTCCAGCGAGGCGGGTGGGGCTCTTGGACCTTTCAACCTAGGCCCTGAGCCGAGCTGGCCTTGGTATCCCCACTTCCTGCCACTCTGCGGGCCCAAGCGGTCCGGGACAGCCCCGGCGCCCCTAGGAACCCTGAGCTCGGGGCCCGGCTGACCCTTTTCCCCCGTCTGCCGCTCACTCATTTCAGGGCAGGACAATGAGGAACATCGCGCGTCTGCGTACCGAGTCAGCCGGGCCGGCAAGAATGGGGTGCCTGGAGGCAGAGGCCTCGGGCCGACTGCGGGGCACCCTCGCAGGAGTCACAGCCGAGTGCCTTGCCCAGGCGGACCCCAAGGCCCTGCCATCGTAAGCCTCCCCCGTGCGGCGCTCGGCTCTTTCGCTTCGAAAACAAAGACTAATCCGATACCCCCGCCCTGCCTCCCAGAGGAGGGGGGACGGGCGCGTCGCAGAGGGTAACAGAGGAGGACAACGTTCAGGAGGGGCTCAGACAGACTCGTAGTGTCCATGGCCCGAAAGGTCACCCTGGGCTATGTTCCAGGCAGGGGGTAAGGGACAAGGCACAAGAATATTTTAAGTGGCCAAACTACCCATTCTCTCTGCTGCTTTTCTCCCTCACCTGTTGTGCCGGCCAAGTTGAAATTCCAGGTTAGATTAATTCAACTCCACCCATCTGGCCTGACTGCCAGACTAGTGCCCAGAGCTGCCTTTCCACCTACCTGGGTTGCTGTGGAGAAGGGTGGGTCTCTAACACACTCACGGGCAAGTCCTGGCAGAAACAGCCACAGGGCGGACTAACCTGACCAGTTTGGGCGGTGCTCACTGAGCCAGGTACCTGGCAGGCGTCCCCGCCGGCTGAAGCTGACAATTCAGCCAGAACTGGAAAAAGAGCATTCGGCTATTTAGAAAGGGGGGAGGGGGGAGTAACTGATCTCAAGTAGCGCTGTCCAGAAAGCCCTAGGCGGTGGAGGTAGCCGGCATTCTGTCTGGAACTTCCCTGTCGCAGGCCTGATTTTGACAGACTGCTCCAGTGGCCAGGTTGTCAGCTGTCAGGTGGGTGGTGAACATGGCTGCAGTACCTGCTTCCTGCCTTGGCCTTTGGGAGGACTGAAGAGTTTCTGTTCAGAGAAGTAAGATTATGACTGAATAGAAATAACACTAGAGTATAATTTTCAAACAGTAGAAGTTGTTGACTCATAATTATTTTCAAATTAATAAATATCTTTGTAACTATTTTAATAAAATTTGTATTTTTAAAATGTGGAAAGTATAGGTAATTAGAAAAAAAATCCAAAATACAATTGTATATAACGATTTGCTACATTTCCTGCTAGCTTTTTTAATGTGTGAATTAGTTTCCTTTTTTACCCCCTCCCCTAACATGATTGTACTCACAATGATTACTGCAATTTGCTAGCCTCTTTTCACTTAACATTATACTATAAGCATGATTCTCTTCGCTATACAATCTCTGGAAAGGCAGTGTGATGATGAGATGAAGACATCTAAGGAACAAGACCTGGGTTCCAGACCTGGCTCTGCCACTTACCTTGAACTAGATACTCAACACCTCAAAGAATCCAGGTGAAGTCCTTAACATTGGACTGAATAAATGAATGATTATGACAATTATTGAACAGTCTTGTAGGTGCTACCATCAAACTGATTTTTTTAAAAGATAGGAGTAACTTGCTCAAGTTAACTCACCAAACCAAGTTGTGGACTCAGAATTTGAGCCCAGTATCTTTTCTCCTTTTGGGGGGGGGGGTACTGGGGATTGAACTCAGGACCTTGCGCTTGCAAGGCAGGTGTGGTGCCACTGAGCTAAATCCCCAGCCCTTCTGTATTCTTAGTAAAAGGCACCAGCAGTTTACTGTGCCAGTTTACTCTTCACATATGAGGGGGTCATAAAACCCTGCACCTTAGGTAACTAGGTAGATGTTAGCGTCATTTACTGGGACAGGAGGAAAGATGTCAGGGGACATTGTGTGAAGGTAAGGCCTTCACTGGAGACACTGATGTGGAACCTGTTTGTGAGCAGGGAATAAGGCCTCAGGTTTGGAGGAGCTCATGTAGAATAGATATGGCGAATAAGAGAACAATGATGACATGACTGAGCCTCCTCTCATGAGGGACAGCAGCTGATAAGCAGCCCTCAGAGAAGGCAGAGCCAGAGCTGCCAGGTGAGAGGAAACAGGCAGGCTTGAGAGATGTCTGTCAGGCCTTCCCAGTCAGGCACTCCTGTTGCTTATTTTTTCTGCCCATAGAAACCCCTTCCCACCCCAGCTCACCACTACCCCTTCCACCTGCCAAATTTCTACAAGCCCTACAGGTCTCAGCCTAAACACCAGTTCTGCAATGAAGCCTCCAGCTCCTCAGAGTCCACAGCTTTATCTACCCAGCACCTAAATTAGCCACTCCCTCAACAGAACAGTTAACAAACAATTAACAGGTTGTAATTGTTTGCATATATGCCTGAAGCACTTAGAGTAAGGGGTGGGATATCTGTGCCTTCCGTGTCCGGCAGGCCCAACCCCCAACAGCTGGAGCAAAGCCTCTTTTCGGCAAGTTCGCTGCTGCCCTAGGGGCTGGATAGGGAACTGTCCTGTCCAGGGAAGGAAGCCCAAAGGACTACAAGGACCACAGGGCTAGCAGGGAGGCATTTCCCTGGATGGGGATAAGGGTAGAGGTGGAGTTGAGCAATAAAGGGCTTCCTGCTCCATTGATAAACTGAAATTGATTCAACACTGGGCTGAGAAAGAGGGTAGGGGGCACCATTGCATGTGTGTTTTTTCAGAAAGTGATGGAGTGGAACCAATGCTGCTTGCTGGGTGTTTGCTGAACCTGAAAATGATTGAATATGACTTAACCGCTAAGGTACTTGTTCCTTGTTCCTCATCTTCAGCTCTATGTAATGTGTCCTATATGAAGGCAACTTGTGATGTAGTATACTTTTTTATTTTTTATTTATTTTATTTTTGTACCAGGGATTGAACTCAGGACCTTGTGCTTTTGAGACAGGCAGCAGAACCATTGAGCTAAATCTCCGGCCCTGACTTTTTTATTTTTTCATAAATATAAATATAAACCTAGGCTTGGTTTTAAGATTTGAAAACAGTGGGAGTTTTATTTGATTTTAGATGTATTACTTCTTTGGTTATGTATTTGTTAAAAATATAATCAGCTAATATTTGTGTGGAGATTTCCCATATCAAAGCACCTCTACACACGTTATTGTTCTCTCTGCAGAGTGGCTCATACAGGTAATATGCAAATGCTACTTTTCTATGACATGGTTCTTATTATCATCACCATTTTATAGATAAAGGAAATAAGGCTCAAAGATGTAATTTGGGCCATTCACTTCTAAATGGAAGAATCAGGCCTACAATCCAGGGCCATGAACTTGGCCTACCAATTTCACTAGGGCTGATTACAGGGCAGAACCTGACATCTTGTTTTGGAGAAAGGGAGATTCATTAGTGGCTTGCTTTTGGACATGTGTGGGCACATGGCACATGTGTAAAATATCTAGACTATGTCTTTAAATAGCTCAGCAAATGCCTGTGTCTTATAACTAGTTTCATGACTATATTTTGAACTTAGGCTGAATCAAATAGGCTATATTACTTGCAAGGAGAGAGTGAGGGTATCCATCATGCTGGGAAAGAAGGTAAATCACCCAGGTTGCTAAATACTCAACAGGGGAAAAGGCCTTGGTGCTGCCAATCTTTGCTTGACAAAATGTGTCAGGATCAGTTATGTTGTGCTATAATAGCAAACAACCCCCAAATCCCAACGATTTATGGTAACAAAAATGTATTTCACAATCACAATTATGTTCACTGTGGATCAAGAGGAGCTCTTTCCTACAGTCACTTAGAGACCCAGACTGCTGCAAGTGGACATGTGTCAGGCAAATTGAACACTTCCTCAGTTTTTACCTGGTAGTGACATTCATAACTTCTGCTCTTATCTCACTGGCCAAAGCAAGTCACAGCGGGCAGGGGATTGCAATAAGTTCAATCTTGCCATGTGCCTGGAAGGAGAAGCAAAAGTATTTGGTTAACAGCATTAATAACTGAAACACAGGGAATGTGTGTGTGGTTGCTGCGACATTTGAGGTATATGTAAGTACAGTTATGCCCATTTCCAGGGCCCTTCTCCATCCTGGGGACACATAATAGAGATTCCCACTCTAATGGACTGTCATTCCTTGCACTAGAGCAGGCTTTGAGGTTTAGACTATGGCAAAAGAAATCTGAGCTGTGGGAAGCAAAACAGAAGCAGTGAATGGCCACCAACAAGCTCAGGAGTAATAATTTGTAAACAGAGAAAGAAACCTAACAAAGGAATAGTCTCAGGGTACATGTGCAGTAGGGAAGGGACTTGACTGCTAAAACAGCATAGCATTGGCAGAGGTGTTTCCTGCCTTCCTGCCATTAATTCCTACTCATCCTTTCCTGGTTAAACTCAAGTGCTATTTCAGGAAGCCTTGGATGATCTCTTGAGACTGGTTGAGGGGCCTACCAATAACATTATAGGAGTGTCTGGCTCATCCCATCCACTAGAGTGTAGACAGGAACCACATCTTCTTGGTCAATACTGGCTGCTGTATGGTTTACACGTTACTCCTGTCCCATCTGCTACACTGGAGCCTGCTTGCCCATCTGATACTTGAACATATCAACCCCTTTTACAGTTAAGGCTCCCCCCATCCATATCCTTTTGAGCCCCATTTGCAGGAACTTCACATTTCAAGGACACCAGTCCTCAGAGCCCCTTCCAGAGATCCTATTCTTCCCACTCAGACATTGCCCCCATGACATCTCTCCCCTTTCTGCATGCTGAGATGCTTCCTCTAGATGACTGAGTTCCAATTTCACCTCCTATGTGTATTAGTTTGTGACTGTGGGTGAAGTTAAGTTCCTCCTCCTCGTCTCCTTCCTATTTGTTTTTTTAAATTTTGTTTTGGTTTTTTGGTACTGGGGATCGAACTCTGGTCCTTGCACTTGCAAGGCAGGTGGCGGAACTACTGAGCTAAATCCCCGGCCCCTCCTTCCTATTTGTAAAGATGGGACTAATGACAGCTCCTTTGCAGAGTGATCAAATGAGCCACTCTAAGGCAAAGTCCTATCTCAAATCTTAGTATGACAGTAGGTGCCCAAACTATCCCAAACGTCTGCTCCCATCTAATCCCTTGATTCCTCTTCCAACTTCACAAATGGTTTTACAATATTTTAACTTTATGTAACCATGACAACCAGAGTTAAAATATATATAATAATCAAGGTCATTATGTATTATACACAGAAATGGATATAATGGTGTCCAGGTACCCAGCATGAAACCTGGCACTGAAGAGGGCCAGTCCCTCTCCAATGGGAGACTGCAGTTCACCAGTCACCTCTCTCCCTTCATAGTTGGCCAACACTGGTTCCTGCCAGCCTTCCTCAAACCTGTCTTGCACATATGCACTCTCTCGGGCTGTCTGCTTTCCTCACTTCCGCCCCTCACTCTGTGGTCTCCTTTTTCACAGACATGGACAATTGTCCTTTGATTCTGAGCTTCTAGGCATGGAAGAACCACACAGAACCTTCAAAGCAACTTGAGATGGCTCCTGCATCATAGTATATCCAATCAAGAATTACAGTTTCAGATCCCTGCTGCTCAAAAGTACAGACCAGGGACTTGGAGTCCCAGCACCATACAGAGCTTGTACAAGTGCAGTATCTCAGCAGGCTCCAAGGCTACTGATCAGAAGCTAACCTTCAACAAGACCTCCTTAGGCCACCTAGCAATGAACCGTTGCTTCAGAAGCCTTGAGGGTAGGGCTAGTTGGCATAGAGAAGAAAAGATCCAAGCAGGGCTGGGGAGGTAGCTCAGTGGAAAAGTGCTTGCCTAGTATGTCTGAGACTGGGTTACATCCCAGCACTGGGAAGAAGGGGATGGGAGGTTTTGAGAGCTGGTTGGGGGGCAGTTTAGAGGGCAGGAGTGAGCTGGGAAGGGGGTTCCTAGAAAGACCTGCACCAAAGATGGCTCATACCTCACAGAGTGTCAGTCTAGCCCAGTTCTTGGGAAGATACACTGTAGTCAGATCTCATTCTACTTGTTCCTGGGGAAATACATTGTATTCTTTTCTTTGACAGTACTAGGGGGTTGAACCCAGGGCCTTGTGAATGCTAATGCTCCACCACTTGCACTCCAGTCCTAGGGACTGAAGGAAGGGCCTGGCGGATGCTAGACAATTGCTTTACCAATGATCTACATTTCTAGCCCCTTTTAAATTCTGAAATAAAGTCTTCCTAAATTGCCCAGGTTGGGCTTACACTCAAAATCCTCCTGCCTTAGCCTCCTGAGTAGCTGGGACTTCAGACATGTGCCACTATACTTGGCCTAACACTGTACTGTATCTGCTAATCCAGGTAGTTATCATTCCATAGGACTGTCTTAATGGTGACATGAGTAGGCTATGACCCACATCCACCTGTCACTCAGCCATGTCAGACCACAATTTTAAAAACTTGAATTTTAACCTGAGGCTCTGGAAAATAATGTATTAGTGAATAATAATAAAAAAAATCTGCATGACAGAAAAGGCAAGGGCAGAAAGAGGCCAGAGGGGAAATAACAGATTGGCCACTTAAATAGATACAGACTGTGGGCTGAGGGCACCTGAACCAAGCACTGGTACAGCAGGGCTTGCCTAGCCCACGGGTCCATGAGATTCATGGCTCCCAGGAAAAGGAGGAAGAAAGTGCAGGAAGCCTAGAAGGCATGGTAGAAAAGCTTAGTTTATGACCATGAATAAGTAATACAGTGGTTTTTGTCTTCCTTTGGTTTTGGGGTTGTTTTTTTGTTTGTTTGTTTGTTTTGGTATCAGGATCGAACTCAGGACCTTGAACTTTGAAGGCAGGTGCCAGAACCACTGAGCTAAATCCCTGGGCCCTGGGGTTGTTTGGTACTGAGGATTCAACACAGAACCTGCACACTGAACTACATCTCCAACTCTTTTTTTATTTTTTTTTCCAGTGCTGGAAATCAAACTCAGGACCCTGAAGGCAGGTGTGGAGCCACTGAGCTAAATCCCCAGCCCTTTATTTTTTAAATTTTGATACAAGGTTTCCCTAAGTCACTAAATTGCCCAGGCTGGGCTTGAACTTTTGATCCTCCCACCTCAGCCCCCCAGAGTGCTGAGATTACAGGCATGTGCCACCATACCTGGCTGCAGTGGGGGTTTTCAAAAATGTTCCTGGAAAAAAATAATGTTCTTGGGCACAAGGAAGAGGCTGCCTCTTGATAGCAGAGTCTTCTTTGGAAGCAAGTAGGAAAATTACTTTCTGTGAGATGTCAGAAGGTACTGGCACTCCCTATGGGCACTCTTGAGACATGGGCACCAACATTAACACTGAGAGAAAACCTAAGGGCTAGAGTTGCCAAATTTGGTAAATAAAAATATAAGACTTCTAGTTGAATTTGAATGTCAGATAAATCATGAATAATTTGGTATACATATATGTCCAATATTACATGCCAGAGTCAGCCTGCCTCAGGAGCAGAGTCTGTCCCCAAGGCATTGGGCCAGGGAAAATGTGAGTTGAATGCAAGTCTCTCCATGGGGCTGGGAGGCCCAGACTAGCCTTCTAAGACCCTCCGTTTTTTAAAATCAAAAATATGGAACACTTCACGAATTTGTGTGTCATCCTTGCGCAGGGGTCATGCTAATCTTCTCTGTATCGTTCCAATTTTTAGTATATGTGCTGCCAAAGCAAGCACCTTGTTTTTAAAATTTAGAATGGAAATGGGGGTGGGCAATGTTAGTTTAGGGGTGTGGCGGTGTTTTGTGAGACACTATGTTGTATTCACTTTCAAATATGTTTTGCCCTACAAAGGTGGAAATTATCAACACATTGTCTACATTATCCTGCAGTGGGTGGGGTAGTTCCAGGAATGCATAACTATAACAGTAATGTAGCTTTGTCTGTAATGGTGGTGCATCCCTGTAATGCCAGCTATGCAGGAGGCTGAGGCAGGAATATCACAGGCTCAATGGGCAACTTAGTGAAACCTCATTTCAAAACGAAAAATAAAAAAGGATGGGATGTAGCTCAGTGGTAGAACATCCATAGGTTGGAGCCCTTCTACCATAAAATGTGATTTAGTTCTCCAAGTGGGGTTCCTGTAGGAGATGAACTATTTCTTAGTCTAAAACAATATGATTCTACTTAACTAGACAAATCGCTTCTATGTAACAGGCATTTATTCATAGGGACTGTAGAAGAAAATAAAGTAGCTATTTACTGGATCCAAGAATATTTCTAAGCATAAAATCAAATCCTTCTTTATGTCAATGAAACAAATTAAAAGATAAAATATTTACAAACCAAACTAACAGAAAAAATTGTTCATACTTAACATGTAAGAAAGAAAATGAACACCCAAAAGAAAAAAAAAATAACAAAAAAGGTCTAGGAGCGGGCATTGTGGTGCACACCTGTGATCCCAGCACTTGGGAGGCTGAGGCAGGATTCCCATGAACTCAAGGCCAGTCTAAACTACATAGCGAGACCCTGTTATAAAACAAAACAAACAAAAAAGGCCCAGAAGTTGAACATTCACCAAAAAAGGAATACCAACAACCAATAAAGATATAAAATATCCTACTTCATTAATGAAAATAAATTGATAGATCACAAAAGAAATACATTTTTGTAAAAACTAACATTTTTCTTTCCCAGGATATACCACTGATGGGACCATAAACTTCCATATTCTTTTTTTCTTTTTTCCCCCCAGTACCAGGGATCAAATGCAGGGCCTTACACTTGTAGGGCAGGTGCAGCACCACTAAGCTACATCCCTGGCCCCCAAACTTGTATATTCTTCTGGGAAGCAAGTTAGCAATGTTTAGCAAGAGCCTTAAAATATTTTATACTTTGTCCTCTTTTTTTTTTTTGGTACCAGGGCTTGAACTCTGGGACCTTGCGGACCATGTGGCAGAACCACTGAGCTAAATCCCTGGCCCTTATACTCTCTTATTAAGTAATTGCATTCCCAGAAAGGTGGTACGTAAAAATCTAGGTACAAGGATTCTCATGGAAGACTTATTTATAAAGCAAAAAAGTAGAAACCTAAATGTTCAACATTTAAAAAAATTAATTTTTGGAATATGAGTACATTGGAACATGATATGGCCATTATAATAATTTTATTAATTAAAAGAAGTAGGGCTGAGGAATGTAGCTCAGCGGTATAGCACTTGCCTAGCATGGATGAAGCTGTAGATTCAATTACCAGCAGTACAAAAAATTTTTTAAAAATAAAAGTTAAATTCTGGTTCATTGTAGAAAAATAAAAATATACAAGTGAGAAGAAAACTAAGAAAAATCTATAGTCCAGTGATAATTGTTGTTTGTTGTAGACCAGACTATATTGAGAACATTTCAGGAGGATGAGACAGGAAGATCCTAAGTTTAAGGACAGCCTGGGAAACTTACTGTCTCAAATAAATAAAAAGGGGCTACATGTGGCAGTGCACACATGTAATCCCACCACTTGGGAGGCTGAATAAGGAAGATAACAAGTTCAAGGTGAGCCTGGGCCACATAACAGGGCCCTGTTGCAAAATAAAATATAAAAAGGGCCAAGATTTAGCTCAGTGGCACAGCGCCTGCCTGGCAAGCAGGAGGTCCTGAGTTCAATCCCCGGTTCCAAAAAAAACAAGGCTGGGGATGTAGCTCAGTGGTAGAGTGCCCCTGGATTGGATCCCCAGTACCACACATGCACACAAAAGATCATTTCATATGTTTTAATATTCAAATATTTTTGAAAACATTATGACATTACAAAATAGTTAATGCATGAAGTCAAATGAAAAAAATCACCACAGCATTATCAAAAATGTGAAATGAAATATTCCCAAAGACTGGAAGAAAATATATCAAAATGTTAGTGGGTTTCCAGATGAGTTGTTTTCTTCATACCTTTTGAAAAAATATTAAAAAAAATAAATATTAGTATTCCTACAATTGAGATGTAGAAATATTTTTGAACAGAGCACATGGAACATCAATACCTTTACACAAATCCAAATTCCTGGTTACTGTCTAACAGGGTGATGGAGACTTTGCTCATAGGAATCACCTGGAGAACTTGAGGAATTCTGATGCTCAGGCCCCCACCAAAGCTGAGAGGACTGGGACCCTGCCCCATGGTGTCCTTCGCAGCTTCCTGTCTTGCTCTAGGTTTGGAAGACAAGTTCTAATGTGGAACCAAGCTGGGAACCACTGCCTGCAAGAGTGACTCAGAGTTGGGTTAGGTGTTTGAGCCCCAGTGGTCTAAGGAGAAGATCCCTGGGAGAGCAACTGCAAGATCTGGTTCCAGTTCTGTAGGCAGTTCTCTCTAGCTGAGTGCTTTAAGTGAGTCACTTTACCTTAGTTTGTTTATCTGTAAAATGGGAATATTTTATGTCACCTGACAGAGTTGTGGCTCCAAGGAGAGGATAAATGAGGAAGCACTATATGAAATAAAAAGTACACAGAAATGTGTTCCTTTTTAGATACTGGAAACTCAGACAATAGCAGTAATCTCTGATCAATAGAATATCCTTGGCAACATGGGAACTCATGCAAATAAGCTGCATTAATCTTGCAATTTGATTTGAAGCTTCTGTGGGCAGGTGCTGTGAAACGTGGATGCCTGGGGTAGTCCTAGCCAGAGGGCTCATGGTAGTAGACAAGAGTCAGTAGGTCTGCACTGGTCCAGATCCTTTGGTCATTTCTGCTTTGAGAGGTGGCTGGCCCCTGGAAGCTAAAACCTTGTTCCTATGAACATGGGCCTTTGCATTTCTAACAAATAATAAGGTCTGCTTCTGAATGAATATTCTTATCTAAATTGTCTCCTTCCGAGATTGTCTTTTCGTTGCTTACAATGTCTTGGGAATTCTCTTTTGAGATTGCCTTTGTCTAAGCTACATTTTTTCTGAATATTTTTAATCAGTGGATTTAGTCTCCATACTTCCAAGAGGAGCTTAATTTTACAAAGTAACCAAAAATATCTTTCAGAACCAAACCTCATGATTAAGGTGGTATTCAAACCTCTAGGTAAGACATTTTATTTTTTTAAGGTGAAGAGGTCACTTGTAAGGCACATGTGCATGTTTTTCTTGCCACTGGTTGTATTCCTGGCCTGGCCCACAGATACTCAACATGGTGTTTTTTTTGTTGTTGGTTTTTGTTTGTTTTGTTTTGTTTCTGGTACTGGGGATTGAACTCAGGACCTTGGACTTACAAGGCAGGCGGAAGCATCAACATGGTGTTTTTGATTCGTGAACACAGCCTGACTCTACTGGAATCCACAAACTGGCTCTAAAGATAACTCTAAAATGATTTCTGAGTAACAGCAGCATATTTGAGACTAATACATTTAGATGATACGTTGGTTAGAAATTATTCTCCTTTATAAATATGCTATGTCTATACCTTACACATTGACCAAGGAGAAAATGTTGCAGTTCCTTCTACCTTGCTAAGCCTGCTGTTAGATCTAGGCAACCACTAATCAGTGACACTGGACAAATTCATGCATTTGGGGAATTATTTTTCATGCCAATGCAATCTACAGAACATCCAAACAAGTACTGTTAATAAGGACAACATCTAAATATAACTCACTTTTCCCACAAAGATTTCGATACACTCATGTTAATTCAGCCAAGGTGCAAAATGTCCACAGCTTAATACATTTAAGGTGTACAGAGTTAAGCAGCTCACAGCCAGGTGAGGGAGCACTGGTCTGAGAGTCCGACACGGGTTTTTTCTGGTTCTGCTGTTAGCTAGCTGTGTGACTTTGGGGAGAATAAAGCACCTTCCTCCCTTGGTCTTTATTTCCTTATAAATACAATGATCTAGCACCCTTAAAGTTATCCATTCTAAACTCAGAAGAGGCAAAGAGAGCAAGTTGCTAACAGTAGACACCCTGCTGGCAAGCACTGAAGTAAGGTCCTGCCAAGCTAAGGGGAGACTTAGAGCAGCAGCAGCAGCCAGTTTGAGCTGAAATAGAGTCCCTGCTTCAAAGGACAAAAAAAGCTGAAGATTAACCCTGACTGCTCCTGGCCATGGAACGGTTTCCAACACACAGGTCATCTGAGGTCAAGTTCAGGGCACACAGCCAGCCACCAGGCAGGAAGGAAGTGGCAGTGAATGCCTGCCTACTTGCCCACCCCTCTCTCCAACTTCTGAGCAGAAGTCCTGCACCCACCCCTTTGCCTGGTCACCCAAGAGACTTCACAGGCTCCTTCCAGTCCCAGGCATTCTGCTTTGGCCTCAAAGACAGCCTGCTCGGTGCTGCTTAAAGCAGCAGGTAAGAGAACAACTGCAGAGGCTTGCCCAGCCAGGCTGCCCTTTGCCCATGCTCTATTTAAAACATTTGAACATTTCTCTCCATAACAGCTCTCTCCAGTCTCACAGCTTCCCTGTCCCCAGACACCTGGGCCCTTTTCTTAGCTCCCTGCCTTTGCTGATGGTGTTGACACCTAACACCTGCTCCCCAACTCTTGCTCTAAAAATCCTATCACTTGATGCCAGTTTGGATGCCATGTAACCCATGATGCTCCCTTAGCTAGAGGCAGCACTTGTTCCAATCTGCTGTGCATCACCTTAGGGACATGCTCTTTCCCCATTCAGGACCAGTGTCCTTGCTCTTCACTTTATCACGTAAATGCCCTTTGTCCATGTTGCTTACCTGCCTGGTATGTCCTTCCCACCACCTGCCAAAACATTCCTCATCCCACCTTCCAAAGCTCAGCTTAGTGAAACTCTGTGAAGGGCTAACTCTTCTGCCACTCTACCTACCCACACCTACCAGCTCTGTTTATTGTGCCCAGAAGTGTGTCTACAGGATTTACAGTATTTGTAGGGGGAGGTGCTGGAGATTGAATTCAGAGCCTCAAGTATATAAGCACACACTACCACTGCGCTGTATCCCCAGCCTGTGTACAGCGGCCTTGAAAATTTGGTCCAAAGTTAGCTTCACTTTGAGCTTTAAGAAAACAGAAGCTCAAAGAGGTTAAGGAACTTGTCCAACTTGTACTGCTGGCCAGTAGCCCAGCCAGGATTTGTACCCAAGTTTGTCTGATGCCCATGTATTCTACGTCCTTCATGTATTCTATGCTTATTCATTTATAAAGCATATATTTTGAGCACAAGACAATAAGGACTTTGAAGACTGTCTTGTTTTCAACCAAGGAACCTAACATCTACAGAGTCTCAGTGACTTGCCCAAGGCAATACAGCTTCTCCCAACCCCATTCCCACATGCCAGTCCTGGTGGCACAGGAACACTTATCATCTGCAATGGCTCCACAGTATGGGGTAATATTTGCTTGGGGTCTCTAGTGGTAAGCCATCTGGCACCCACATGCACTGTAAACAGAGTCCTAAATTAGGCAAGAGAATGTTGCTAGAAGTTCAGGGTCACAGGCTATATTTGCTCACCTGTACATAATGACAATATCTTAAACAATGGTGACTTAGAAGTTTACAGCTTTCTCATACAAAAGAAGTCTGAGGCAGGCAGTCCAGGGCTGATGTTGCAGTTCTAAGGAGTCCAGGCCAGAGGCATCTGTCTTCTGCAGTTCCCTCCCTTATGAGGTATTTCATGGTCTAGATCATCTGGAAAGGATGTGTGTCTGAGAGCAGAATCAAAGGGTTCACCATCTCTTGAATTTCTACCATTCTTTCTAAGGATCTCACAGTCATATAATCAATCCAGGGGCAGAGAGGCTACACAGAGGCCCAAGGGACTCTGACAAGGGGCTCAGCTAGTTGGTAGCATGTTGCTGGCAGCATAAAGGGATAAGGCTGTGGGGAACATTTCATTGCTTAGAACAAGGGGCCCTTCCCAGGCTCAGCCTGCTTCCTCTTTTCTCCTTTTCTTTCTATTCCTCAAGTGCTTATTGGATTACTCATTCCCAGGTACTGGAGGTACAAACAGGATTGGATGTATTCTGTGCTGTAAGAGACAGGGAAAGAGATCATTTCAGTGCTATGCAGTCAGTGCTACAGTAAGATGGTTGCATTACACTGGAGCACCAAGTAGGGCACCTGAGCCAGCTGGGTGGGAGTTGGCAGAGGCTTCCTGCAGATGATAACTGCTGATAAAGGCAGGCTGAGAGGATGAAGGGCATTCCGGGAGGGTGACATAAGCAAATGCAATGTGAGTAATAAGTAATGCAGGGGAAAGATGAGGGTTTGATGTAAACTACAACAGAAGGGTGGGAAAGGTTAAGTGCCTGCTCAGGGTGCCTGGAAGCCCAAGGCATGTTCTAGAGGCACCTACCTGGTGGCTCAATGAGGTGAGTATGCTAAAGAGCTGTGTGGGTGCTCCATAGAGCAGGGCTTTGGAAGAGTCACAGAAAGGACAGAGAGACTAAATGAGAGCCTGATTCAGGAGAGGAGACGAGAGCAGCTCTGATAAATATTAGGGGGAATGGTAGCATGAGATAATTACTTGGGAGTCAGGAATGAGTCAGGAATTACCTGAGGAGGCCAGAGGGATGATGGGGTCATCACTGATGTAGAGAACACAAGGTTTTCCCACAGCCACCCTTGGGAACACTTCTTGGGAATAGCCCCAATGATGAGTATAGCCTTCCCATGTTGTTTGCATAACTTTGTTAAATGTGTGCACATGGCCTTTTTCATTTTCAGATGTACCTACCAGAATCTTAGTCATAACAAACCTTCTGTGACTGTAGCAGTAGTTACAGGGAGACCAAATTCTCGTGACCGTCATGGTGGACCCTCCTGGGGCTTGCAAATGACAAGCCTTGAAACTTAAGTTTCATTAGGGTCATAGTAACTTCTGTTTGCAGTGAAGGACCATGACTCTTTGGTGGCGTATCAATCCAGCAAGATACACAGTCAGGCATATGCAGGGACTAGGAGAGCACAGACTTTGTCCAAAGGACAGAAGCAGAACCATGCAGCTAGAACAGAGGCTTCTTTCACAGGAGGGCAAGTCAGAGCTGGAGGCCCCAAAGCCCGGGTAACGAGGGAACTTGGTCATCATCTTGTAAAGCACATCAACATTTTTTTAAAATGAATTTTTATTTTGAGATAATTTTGGATTTATAGAAAAGTTGCAAAGATAGCAGTTTCCACATACCTCAGTTTCCCTTAGAGCTAATATCTTACATTACATGGTACACTTGTCAAAATTAAGCCCACACTGGTATGTTACTATTAACTAAATTGCTGACCTAATTTGGATTTCATTAGTTTTTCCACAAATGTCCTTTTTCTGTTCCAGGATCCAATTCAAATGCTACTTTCATTTGGACACTGACCTTTTAAAGAAGAATATTAACATGATTAAAGGTGCTTTGGAAGAATCACCTGATAGTAATGTAAAGGGTGAGCTGGGAAGTGAGTAGGAAGGTACTTATAAAGGCATTCCAGAACATCCACCAAACTTTCAAATATGTTCCAGTATCCAGTGCCTAAGGGACCTAAAGAGATGCAGTTGCTGAGAAGAGAGAATATGGGCCACTGGAAGCATCTCTGTGTCTGCTTGGGGACCCAGTAGTCAAAGGCATATCCAGCATGTCTGGTGGTTTCCATCTAGCTGGCAAACTAGAAGGTGTTCCTGTTCAGGCTGGCAAATCCACACAGCAGCCAAAGAAATACATGCTTGCTTTCTTTTCTCAATAACCTAGTCTTCTCTTCCTTCCATGGCAGTCTGGTATTGTGCAGACAGGCTTTGGGATCAGGAGAGTCCTGGATTTGAGTACCAGCTCCACCACCTATGGTGGGGCTCCATGTGAATTACTCAACCTCTCTGAGCTTCAGTTTCCTCACTGGTTAACACTAGGATCTTAACTCTCCTTCACAGGATTGTTGCGAAGATTAATAAAGTGTTCAGTAGGATAGCTGGCAACAGTAGGAATCCGTCACCAGCTCTTTTCAACTTGAGGATGGGGTCTGGGCCCCTTAATTTTCTTACACATCCTCATAATATTTAGCACAGAGAAAGTACTTCATAAATTAATGATCAGAACACGGAGCTCACAGCCCAATAACCTTAGGAAGGGCACCTGTTTCTCCACTCACATCACTCTTATTTAGCAAATCTATATTAGGCATTGACTAAATATTAAAAAAAAAAATAGCATTGGGATAAGTGACAAAGACATGGTCTGTGTCAAGAAGGTCAAAGCCAAGGACATCAAAGAGATGTCTCCAAACAACTTTCACTCAGGTATGATACATTTGACAGAAGTCTAATAAGCAGGATCTCCAAAAGCAGATACTAGTATTTCCATGTTGAGTGAGGAAAGGGTTTCCCAGAGAGGAATAGTAGACTTGGTACTGGCAGAATAACTTCTTCCAGGGTAAAATGGTGTGGGAGAGAAACATTTCATCAAGTGGGAAGTACATCACCTATTCTGGAATCGTGGGTAGTCTGGTGGGGCTTATGACAGGAGTGGTGGAAGATGAGGTTCTAAAAACGTGGCAGCTCCAGTCCCTCTATGCAGGAGACCTGACTTGAAGCTGTTCTTCTGGATAGCAACAGTTTTTCTATACATTGCTCAGTTGAGGTGGCTTGGGGATAGGAGACTTACTGGTCATATTGTTGTGGAGGCTCGTGGTGAAGGGCATTCCAGACACTCTTAGGCATAGCCATTACTGCAAAGGGAACCATATAACTGCTATAAAAAAAGGAGAAGCAACCAGGCATGCTAATGCATGCTTGTAATCCCAGCATTTGGGAGGCTGAGGCAGGAAGGTGCCAAGAGTTTGAGGCTAGCCTAGAATGCATAGTGAGACCGTTTCAAAAAGCAAGCAAGGAAGCAAGCAACCAAGCAGAATATATGACTGCTGGGGAGTCAATTATAATGTCTACTACACCTTCAATAACAGAACGACTTTGGGATACAAAGACGATTTGAGAGATTTCAGAGATAAACAGGCAGAATTTGGTGAGAATGAGTGTGAAAAAATAGGAGGGGCAAAGTGGTCTCCAAGCTGCTGATGTGGTCAACTGGGTAGACTGAGAAGCATGATAAATGGGTTTTGTTGGCTGGGTGAGGTAGGGGTGGTGGTGGGCATGTGAGTGGGAATGACAACTGTTTTGTACCTACTGGGCATTAGGGGATCCAAGCAATGTATACAGAGTTCTTTAAGTCTCTAGCTGTAAAGGTTACCCTGATCTGGGATTTACTTCAAAATGATCAGTGGGAGATAGTCTATAGGTTAATCAAGGCTGATTATGAGTAGACAACAAATGGGTGAAAACATAAGAATCAGCTCATACTAAGATAGGTAAAAGCTAACCTGCCATTCATTAGGCTGTAGGAACAGACAGTGGAACCAGGTACAAAGTTATCATGAAACAGTATTTTCCTCAGGTACACAGTAGCTGTAAAGTGTCATAATCACCCATTCTTTGTGTGACTACTGCTTTCTCACTCACTGGGAGACCTTGTTCTCTAACGTTAGAGTATTAGAAACTTGGCTGTTTTAAATTTTATCAGTTAAAATGAAACATTACGGGCCAGGGATTTAGCTCAGTGGTTTCGCTGCCTGCTGCACAAGCGCAAGGACCCAAGTTCAATCTCCAGTACCATAAAAAAAAAAAAAAAAAAAAAAAAAAAAATTACAAGCGGACCTATGTCACTTTGACACAGAGAAGTGAAGTGTCTTGACTAATTAACCCAATTCAGAGCCTTGGAGAAGTCTTCTGGACACACTATTCAACTTATTTTTTTTGTTTGAGACAGGGTCTTGCCATGTAGTTCAGGCTGGCCTTGAACTCACTACATAGCCCAGACTGGCCTTGTACTCACAGCAATCCTCCTTCTTTAGCTTCCCAAGTGCTGTGTGTCACCATGCCCAGGACAATATTCCACTACTGTCTTAACTTTGTACTTTCTAAGGAAATGAACCTGGGTCTACTTTGAAGATCAGAACAGCTGTTGACTCCTCCTTGCAAGTTCTGCTTGACTCTGCACCTATCAAAACACTGCTTCCTTTAGATTTCACTGAAACTCTACCTTTCCTGAATATCCTACAACTCTATCTTTTCCTGGTCCCTCTCACTGCAACAAGTTAATAAACGTGACTGTCAAACTTCAAATTTCTTCCTGGTGCTTGTAAGCTGACTGGGCTAGAATGTGGGTAGTGGGGATACAGAAGCACTTTTTAGGAATTCCTCAGTTACTGCATAGGATTTATGCTTTCCACAACGTTAAGTTTTTTAAAAGGCCTCACCCCAATGTTCTTAGTAGTTAGAACATTGACAGTGGTTGAGATTTATGGAAGGCACAATGATAGGACCTTCCTCACTTAAAATGTCAACATCCCAATCTCTGGAACCTTCAAATACCACTGCCTTACATAACAAAATGAGCTTTTCAGACGCAGTTAAGGCTGAAGAACCTGAGATGGATCTAAAACATCCCCCAAAAGCTCATGTGTTATTTAAAAGCTTGGTCCCAAAGGCATCAGTGAAAGTTCAGAGGTGGGGCCTTTGGAAGAGATAGGACCATAAGGGCTCTGACCACAATGGACTAACCCACTGAGTGGCTAATAATTTAATAAGCTATTGAGGTGGGGCCTAGCTGGAGGAAGCAGGTCCTCGGAAGAATGGCTTTGAAGGCTGCAACCTGCCCACTCCCTCTTTTTCTTGCTTCCTGGCTGCCATTAGGTGGGCAGTTCTCCTCTATCATGTGTTTCTGCCCTGATATTCTTTCTCCTTGCAGACCCAGGAATAATGGAAGCAAATAGCCATGGACTGAAACCATATGCCAAAATAAACCATTTCTTTTTAAATTGTTTCTTTCAGGTATTTTGTCACAGAGACAGAAAGGTGACACAATCACCCAGAGGTAGTAGTACTAAAGACAGAAATAAGGCAAGGATGCCTGGGAAAACCAATACAAAAGGAGAGGAGAAAAAGGTGTCAGCATCGCAGAAGACAGAAAGGGAGGCACCAAGTGGTGAAGGGTCTAAGGAGAAAGTGGGCCAGAGAACTTAAAACTGGATTATCATTTAAAGGCTGAAGGTTAAACAGAATCTACATTTTAAAGTGCATGTTATTTCCTTGTTTCATTTTCCCCAGTGATTCTAGCATTTGCATGTAACAGCCTCTTTCATCTGAAACTATCACCTTTCTCCCTCACAACTTTCACAACCTTGATCCTTGTTATAAACCCATGAAGGTAATATTCAGGTTCTAGAGCAGCAGGTTTCACCACATGGTAAACCAGAAAGACATGCAGCTATTTTTATGTGTTAATCCATGTTATTTGACTCTGGGGGACTGCCCAAATCAAGAGTGAGGAAAACCACTGGGGCTGGCCTGACAGAGTGGAGACCATTTTAGGCAAAATGTTTTGCAGATCCTGTCACTTCTAGTGGACTTCCAGCATGACTTCCAGTACCCAGGGTCCCTTTTTAATCTCTGAGGGGCCCAAAGGTTTCAGTCTGTGGTACTAATCCCCATATTTAAAGGTTCCACTTAGATCTTCCCCTCTCCTCCATGCTTTAGGTTCAAAATTACTGTTCCTTATTAAAATGTTATTCTCTCCAGGTGATCTCAGCAACCAGTTTGCAATATGGCGATTTCACAGAGGTGAGATTGCTGTTGGCTCTGACTATCCCGAAAGACACTAATACTGGGCGTGGTGGTGGCACAAGCTTGTAATCCCAGCACTTGGGAGGCTGAAGCAGGAGGACTGCTGTGGGTTTGAGGCCAGCCTGGGCTACATAGTGACTTCAAGGCCAGCCTGAACTATACAGCAAGGCTCTGTCTCAAAAAAAAAGGTAATGTTTATAGATGGAAATAAATGCTGACTTTGTAGATTTCCAGGCTTTCAGAATGAAAATGTAAGGAGCATATTCTAAAATTATAAACTTACCATCAGCACCTGCTTTGACAACTTGCGTCTAATGCTTCATTTTCCTATGAGGGCTACACTTGAATATTTTACCCCATTTATTCTTCAGAATTCAGAATAGCTATCATTTTTTGGTATGTGACAAGTTCTAACAGAGGAAAGGGCCAGCCCTTTGTCAGGAGGGAGGAGAGGGGAAGAGGATGAGGAGGAAGGGTGGGGAGGAATAGGAGGGAGGAGAGGGGAAAGAATACAGAAGGAGGGGGGGAAGGGAGAAGAGACAACTTACAAGGAAGAAATATCCATAAATCCCACATATATCTGATATATCAGAATATATAAAGAACTCTCATAACTCAACAGTAAAAAGCCAAATAATCCAACTGAAAGAGGGGCAAAGGAATTGAATAGGTACTTTATCAAATAAGGTACACAAATGATCAGTAAGTTCATAAACATGTTCAGCATCATTCACCATCAGAAGAATGTATATCAAAACCACAATGAGATACCATCCCACATCTATTAGAATGGCTGTAATAAAAATAACATATCAGCTGGGTGTAGCAGTACATGCCTGTAATCCCTGCACTTGGGAGGCTAAAGCAGGAGGATCACTGCAAGTTCGAGTCCTGAACTGCACAGTGAGACCCTGTCTTAAAAAAATAAAGGATACTAAAAGGGCCAGAATTTAGCTCAGTGGTTCCATCGCCTGTCTCGCAGGCACAAGGTCCCGAGTTCGATCCCCGGTGCCAAAAAAACCCAAAACAAAACTGTGAGCTAAAAAAATAAAGGATACTAATGAACAGATAAACAAAATGTGGAATGCCCATAAGATATTATTTAGTCATAAAAGTGAAATACTGATACATATTATAACCTAGATAAACCCTGAAGATATTATGCTAAATAAAAGAAGCCACAGAAGACTACAAGCTATACAATTCCATTTATATGAAATATCCACATTAGGTAAATCTATAGAGATAGAAATTAGATTTGTGGTTGCATAGGGTTGGGAGTAGGGGAAATCTTGGTTAGGGGAGAGGGAGGATAGGGTATGGGCTTTTTTTCTGGAGTGATAAAATGTTCTAAAATTTGATGCAGGTTGTAAAAACTCTATATTAAAAATCATTGAATTGTACACTTTAAATGAATGAATTAGTGTGGTGTATGAGGTGTTTTTTTTGGTACCGGGGATAGAACTCAGGACCTTGCACTTGCAAGGCAGGTGGCAGAACCACTGAGCTAAATCCCCGGCCCTGAGTTATATATTAATAAAGCCATAAAAAATTTTTTAAAGGGTGATAAAAAATTGCTGAAGTTTTTCCAAACTACCTATTTTAGAAACCGGTCTCACACTATTTTCCCAAAGCATAAAGGACAGAAACAGATTTCTTCAGTCTTCAGTACATGCTAAGTCCCAAATTCATTTTCCTGAGGCCTGTAGACCTGTAAAGGGCTCAGTGTAGGAAATCCTCTCCCAGTGAATCATGGGCCTGTGGGCTTCCTGGAATGGTGCACTTCAATTCTATAGAACCACGTACTTTTCCTCCTTAACCATAAATTGTCCTTGAAGCTTGACAAGCAGCACAAAAATTATTTTCTTTCTTTCTTGCAGAAATGTTCACATAAAGGTTGCCTGAAATTCACTGGGTAAAGTAGGCCAGAGTGCCAGGATGGCCAACCCTAAATGTCAGATGCTGAACTTTTAGGCTCTTGATGTTCTCTCCCTTTCTTTCTTTTGGCCAAGCTCTTCAGCTCCGGAGCAAAAGTCCAAATTCTTCACTCTCTCCCCTGTACCTAGAGTGGTAGGTAGAAAGAGATAAGGAAGCAGCTTCCTGGAAGTTGGCTCCCTTTCCCAGTTCTAGGGGCTCACACTTGCATGCCCACCCACTCCTGAGCTGCTTTAGCTCCCTTCTTCATGCATGGAAGGGCTTGGCTCAGAGTTCTGGAGCAATTTCTGCCCTGGCAGGTCAGAGGGAACAAGTGAACACACAGGAAGTCGGGTTAGTGAAGAACTCCAGAGGAAGAAGGGGCTAAGACTTTTCTCAGATGAAAATTCCTAGTCTATTGGGGAGTTCAGAGCAGGCACCAATAGCTACATCCTGAAATAAATCAACAACTAGATTAGAAAAATAAGGAAAACTTAAGACAGCTTTATTTTCAAAGTCCTCAACATATAAAAAAGACAACAGCAAAGTCTAAAGATAGCAGGAACTATACCCCTGAATGTCAGAGTACTTTAGGGGTAAGAGAAAAGGGATGGAAAGGTGGATGGAGTACTCAACATTTTCTAGCTTCAGAAAGTAGAGAGCCCAGATCACAGCTACAACATCCTAGTACTCGTTACAGATTCTTTACAAAGGTGTTTACCTGCAGGAAAGAGAAAACCCAAGTTAAATTTCACATTTTCAGCAGATTATTCAGTGGTCTACCCACAGTGTGTGTGTGTGTGTGTGTGTGTGTGT